TGAAAAGGCAGTTGGTAGGTTCTGGTGTAATTTGCAGCAAAGCTGTGATGTCTGCATATTTCGGTTCAACAGATCCAAATTCAGCAATCTTCTAATTAGTATCCTTTTTTATATGCGTCTTCCATAACAGATGGTGTACACCCCCCCCCCTCCCTCCTTCTCCCCACCCCGAAAATCATCTCGACACCCTTTTTCCTCCAGGGGGTAATATGACTGTGTAGTATTTGCTTTAATTATTATTTGTATATTTTTGAAGAGTTATAACAATACTGAGGAACTGAAGGAGTTAGAACTGAGACAAAGTGCGTCAGTGGAGAGGGCATAAGAAGTTTACAAAATTATATCATGTCAACTGACGTCGAGCAGCAGGCCAAACGGTTAGAACACTGGGCTGCGGGGCCAGAGACCCAAGTTGGAACCTTCGATGTGCCTACAGATTCTTTTGCTGTCATGGTGCAAATATAAATATCCGAATGTGCCCAGTCCATGGCCACAGTACTAGCCAGGCGGCACTTAATCCTTAACTTCAAAGGCCCCCCCCCCCCCCACCCCGCCTGCATCACAAAAGTGACAGTTACAGTCAGTATTGTCAGTTGAACTGACGTCAACAAATATATGGGGTGTGTTGCTTGTTGACCAACGAGTTGATCAACTTGTATGTTCTCTTTTCACAGTCCCACCAGCCTCGACTTTCAGGATTTTGCAAAAAACATCCTAAACCATCAGCGGCTTTGTAAAGGTAAGGTTTATTCATTGAATTATCTTTTCTCCAGGCCATGCCGGCGTGGTGGGCAATGAACAGCCAGACAGATTGGCTGTATCTGCACCACTGGGTGGTGAATGGATCCATGAAAAGGCAGATGTGGTCAGGGCACTTTGGGAACAAGCAACGGAATCAGTAGAGAAACAAGATTATTATGGCCTGGAGAGAATGAGGCACCTGGATGTAACCAGATTGTCTAGCCAGCTCACTACACTGAAAGGAAAGGCACGACGGACATATAACCAAATTATGACCAGATACCATCAGTATTGGAACTCTGCGCTGGTTGCTGAAGATAAGGAACGAGCACGAATGGAAATGCCTGAGTGCTGTGATGTTAATTCTGGACTTAACCCAATCATTCATTCATTACCCCGACAATAAGTGGTGAGGGTTACATGTAGCGCCTTGACCGGAGGCCTAAACTTTCCACTGCTAAAGAAATATGTATTAATTTACTTTTTTTTTTTAAATTTTTTTAAATTTACAATTCAGCCAATCGTAGATTACTCCGATATGCGGAAGCTTCCGCGATCAGCCGGTTGAAACCAGAACTGTGTAGCCAGAAGTAAATGGTCGTAACCTTACGGTTACCTTGGTGAAACAGTTTAGAATGTACTCGAATTTGTGTTTCAGTTTTTAGGATTCAACAATTTGCTTCATTTTAATCAATTGTTACTGAAGTATGCACCTGACGAGAAACAGCGAAATATGCCAGGCAATAAATTGTGCAGTCTATTGTTTGTGTCTTCTTTGTTCAAATTACTTTTTATTGTTACTATTGACTGTTTATTAAAATTATT